ATTTTTCTGTTGAGGCTTGATTAAAGCACTAATTTGTATTTCCTTATCTAGTTAACTTAATTGTTTCAGTTATAAATGAAAAATCAGTATTCTAAATATCAGAAATTTCTAAGAGGCCCATTCTTCCAAAAATAAAAAAAAAAAAAAGCACGTTCACTTGTGCTACATAGGTTTTTTTATTTTTGGAAGAATGGGCCTCTTAGAAATTTCTGATATTTAGAATACTGATTTTTCATTTATAACTGAAACAATTAAGTTAACTAGATAAGGAAATACAAATTAGTGCTTTAATCAAGCCTCAACAGAAAAATTATCTATCAGGTTTAGAAATTTTTAAAATCCAAATTAAGATTTTTCATATAGTTCTATTAAGTTGATTATTCTTCTGTCATGCCAAAGGAATTCCAAAAGAATGCTAGAGGTATCCATCCTCTTCATTTAGATGCTGGCCACACACAATACTTATGCGATAACTGGATATTAATATACAGGTTTAGAGACATGATAGTTTTTTTCCATGTTAGGATCCAACCAGAAGTAGTCAACATAAGTGATAATTGAAACCTTGAACACCTACATTTTTGCTGACTTTTAGTCATCCAATTTCTTCATATTCAAAAAGATATGAAGCAATGCAAACTTTACATCTTTTAAAAATGTTACTTAGCATATATTTAGCAGTCCATTCCATCAAGTGTTTAACACTCTTAAAAGAAGCCTACTACCCTGAAATTCCAGGATATGATGCTATATGCAATCCTTTTAAAAGCCACACTGTGTCCAGATGGGGTACCCAATGTTTCAATGAATACGTTAAGCCACTTTTGCTAAGTATTTCACTTTAACTTCTAGGAACTATTTGCAAAATACAATAGATGGCATTTAGAATGACATAACCTGTTTAAGCAGAGAATATGGAAATTGTTTAACTCACATGAGATACTGTACATTGTAGCTCACATGTTGTTTATACCGATTATTCCAATGCAGATGAAATTTCATATTCAAAGCAAGAATGCTCACATCTGTTGCACAGAGTAGGTCATTCACTGCTCAAAATGAAAAGGAAACGCACAGTTACTGAAAAGCTCTATATTATGTATAGCAATTTCTCACTGAATGGGTATTTCTCATGTAAATGGTCATGGTACGTTTTCAATAATAAAAAAAAAAGTTGTCTGTTTTCATTATAAAGATGGCAAGTCAAGGTCTCTGATACATACAGCATATTAAACCTTTAGTAAAAAAACAGTTAAAAATCAATTCAGAAAAAATTAAGTACAGAAACGTTGAGATTAGTAGAAATAAACTGGTTCTGCAACAACTCGAGAAAAACATGTAAAATACACACACATAAAGTAATTTTGACATACCACCCGTTCAGTCTTATGTTTGACCTTCTACATTCCCACCCACACTGTTATTTTTTTCCTGAAAGAAACATTTAGAAGTACTTAAACTGACACCTGAACAGCACACAAAAGAACTTAAATTTAGACATGCAAAACAAGCAACTGGTGGCAAACTGCCACTAAGCCATTCTTCAGAATCTGTAATAATAAATTCACCAAGGCTTCCATAAAAACAATATTTTTTTTAAGCTTAACTCAACTTTATATGCATTCATTTAGTGCCAAGTATACAAAAGGCTTTTGTTTTACCTACATACACATCCCTTTCCTCCTGATTCAAAGTCACAAATTCAAAAATATCCAGTTTTCCAAAATACAGAAAGTAGTTTTTGCGATCCAAATTAATGGACAGAATTTACCTCGGAGCAAAAAACTTTGTACTATTAAAACTCTAATATTGATAGGTGACATATTTTACATTGATTTAAAATAGAAAATGTACGTAACTGTCAAGATTGCTGTTATACCAAAATGAGTAGGAACTTGGCACTTCTGCATATTTCTATTGCTTTAGAACAATTTAGTTTCCAACAGTTTAAACTGGAGTAATCATTTTAAGATAAAACAATTTTACTCTGTACCTTTATGGGTAGTTTTTACACAATGAATAGGACTGAATAAGCCTTCTTGCAAGTCCAAAGGAAGGGTTGCCTGAACTTTCAAACAATAGGTAGTGTCTGGTGCAAGATCATCAATTGTGTCAGTAGGAAAAATACTTTGACTTCTGAACTGTAAGAAACAATTGCAAACAGCATATGAAGAGAATTGTTCTTCCTGATGAGCTGATTTTTTTTAAAGTATCCTTTTCTTTCCCCAGGTTTAAGCCCATTTATATAATATGCCATCGAAAATGCTAAAATAGGGAATGAAGGACAATATATGAGCTGAATAAATGCTAAATGGAAGTTTCCAACTTAGCTACGTGATTGAGAGGAAGGAACACGTCGTGCTCCTTTAACACATGAAAGTAGGGAGGGATTGCGGCACTGCTCTACATGATGCATAACTCACCCCACAAATATTCAGGCACAAACTCAGAAGCAAATAGTACACTTCTGTCCCTCAGTTCATTCAGCAAACACCCCCCCTTCCTCCTCCAGCTACTTCCCTGCTTTTGGTTTACCAGACTTCAGTGAATGACCTTTGTACACAGCTTGTACTTATTTTTTCTCCTTTGGTCTGTAATGATTATGACTATGTCTTCCAAGTGAACACAGATACCTCTTCGATTCCTACCCTAATCTAGCTGGCACCCATTCCCCTAAAAGGATAAAAAAAGAAAGACTTTTTCTACTTTGGTCTTTACAGAATAGCTATATGTGCTGTTTGAGATGCGCGTTATGGCTTGGAAACTAGTTCACAATTACAAGACCTCAAAAGAATCCCTAGAAAACCCCAACCTACAGTATAAAAACAAAGAACTTAGTTAATGACACAGGACAGTGTACTGAGAGCTGTAGTCAAGCTATATGGTCTCAGCAAGACCGAACTAGCCTCCTACCTCTCCCCTCCCCTATACCTATGCCTTACTGTAAATGCTTCTTCCCACTGCCTTGAACTCTTTCCCCTCCCTGTTCCTGCTGGCCAAGAGTGGCGCCCGCTCCAAAGACATCTGAGATGGTTTTACCTTCTTCTTCATTCATTGAAAAGTGGCTCCAGCATTTAACACAAATACGAACTCTTATCACAAATCTAATAAAATCCTCTAGTGAAAACAAAACCAAAAACCCCAAGAAAACACCCCCTCCCAACTTTTAAACTGCATAGCAACAGTTTTACACAGCTACATAATTAAACAATTCCATTTTGTAGCATGACACAAAGTACATCTCTGACAGTTATGTTAAGGTTAAAAAGTTAAAAAGAAAAAAAAAGGAGTGATCATACCTCTGCATTTGATGAATTTTCCCAGATAACGAGATTATATTTAAAACGTAGATGAGCTATCCACATTTTTCGGACCTGATTTGCTTCTGGAGGAGAAATCTTAATTTTTATGACTCCATTTATGGACTGCAACTCTACTCCTGGGGGACCGATATGAGCTGCAAATATTAAAAGAAAAAAAAGTCAAGCATGACTATTTAAAGAAAAAACATCAAAAAAGTAATTTACATTAGTAAAACCACAGTAACTGCCTATAGTGTCTTATTTTTAATTCTTTTGAGGCAATAACAAGATCATAGTAATTGCCTATAGGATCTTAGATTTCATGAATCTCAGGCAGTATCTAATAAAAGCCTAACCTAACAAACAACCACCATTACCTGGTTCTAAAAGCAGTAGAGTTAAAATGCAATATTACTAATGAATGTTTTCCAGAATCTGCAGTGAAAATCAGTGTAAGTTATTCTAACACATGCAAGGCAAGAAACCTAGCTCAAACAAATCAATCCAACATTGAGGGGAAGCTTCAGTACCACACTATACTATAACTACCAAAAACTCACAAGGTCAGAAGAAAACTTCCAGAAAAGACCACTGTCAAAAAGGATTTTTCTGAAATCTAGAAAAATACAGTGTGACAGAAAATTCTGTCAGAAAAACAGCATCGCTTACAATACTTTCCCCTTTCCAGAAAAGGGAGAATCATAACATTCCATGACCTGCAAATACCTTATATTATGTTAAGGTTGAGAAAACTACTAGTTCATGTTGTTTTGAGCCATAGAAACCACATGCATTTTTCCACAATAATGTGCAGAAGGACATTTAACTAGAAATGTTACAGTATATATGGAGCTCATACCTATAAGATACGGATTCATTTCAAAAGTGCTAGACCATGGAGACACTTCTTCCCTTCTTTCAGCCCTTATACGCACATGATGTGTATCATAGTATTTGGTTATTGCTGAGGAAAAGTCACATTCCGTGTGAGTAACATTTTGACACCCGGGCAACTCCTTCCATTCTGTTTCATTTGTCACAAAGTCTTCAAACCTGCAAGAATGAACACACCCCAAAAATAAAACCAATACACAATTTAAACTTGAAATTCTTTTTCCTTTTCTTCTTAATGCTAATAAATATCACACCATTTAATGCTGTTTTATCACCAGCAGCAGTGTAATCAGTGTTATCTACTTAGTTACCCCGGAATTCATATCACCTTTTAATTCGTTAATTTAATCTATTAATTTATTAGTTCAGCCTTATTACCAAAGGTTAACTATCAGTCTGCAAAGTCTGATTGTTGCAAATATTTTGATAAAAGAAATTAAAATCTAATTATAAAGGAGTTTGGTTCGATTAAAAAGTAGAAATTATGAAGCATAGGTATGGGAGTGTTAAGTTTGAAATGTAGCCATAGGAACTTAGGAACTTAGAAAATGTATAATGTGTAACCATAAAAATTCAAGTATTGTTTAAAATCATCTAACCACAGAAGCTTTGACAAAGATTGGTAGTCTTGTAGTGTTTGTTTTAGAAACTGAGGAAACCGTTATAGACACCAGTTTGCTGCTTGGAAACACCTGAGAGGTCAAAAAGCGGACGAGTGAGGAAGACTATGAAAGACGACCAGAGGACTCCTGAAGACCACCAGAGACCTTCACTGCGCCTGCGTAAAGGACATTTACATATGCTAATGATTTCCCGGAAACCTAATGAATATGTATAACCTTTCCTGGAAACCTAATGAATATGCATGAATAAGTTTTGATATAAGGTGTATTGTTTTGGTGTTCAGGTGTGCGTGGTTCATGAGAGGACTCACCCGCGCACCCAGCCGTCAATAAAGAAGTGTCTGCTTATCTGCACTAAATTGGTGTTGATAAGTTCTTTATTCCGAGTTTTTCGGCGACATGATACCAGTTTGCTTTATTCACCATGTAAACACATGGTCTCAGAAAACAGCACCAAAGTACTGTCAAAACCCAGAATTATATCCTTAGTACATGATCATAGTCTGGCAATGATTGTATAATTCATTGGAAGAAATTTAAAAGTCTTGATGGCAAGAAGCGGTTAAAAGAGCATAAAAGCAGCAAACGCCAATTCTAACATTAGCAAGGAATGTAGATTAGAGGAAAATTAAAACACAAAGGAGAAAACTGGAGTTCAGCAGTAAGTGTTGGAATAATCAGCTTTACAGAAGCTATTTTTCTTGTGAGTTAACAGACATCCACACCTTACTTAAGAAAGAGACATTTCATATAGAGATTAAAAATGTCCTGACCAAAAAAAAAAAAAAAAAAAAGGCACAGACTTGAAGTAGTAATTGTATATCCTCAGCTCCTATCTTATCTTTCAGACTAGTATTATGTTTTTAAAATAAAACTGATTTTCAGAGCAGCTGTTTCTCATCTACACATTGAAGAAGGCAAGCTATTTTTTTTTAAATCCAAAATCATACACTAGGAAATACTAGAATCAGGAACTTCTTAAGTGATTTGATGTTAGAAATGTTTTTTAATATTTACTTGTCAGGGAAATGCTACAAAATACCAAATGTATATGTATATGCATGCGTAAGTATTGGTATATGAAACAATTGAAGAAAACCAAGCAAACATTAAATTACAATAAATAAAAATTAAATTATTTCATCTGGTGATTAAAAGTTGCAGATGAGAAACCTGGATTCATAAACACTGACAAATTATTCAAAAGCCACACTGAAAATTCTCTCAAATTGTCTGTGTGTGGCCATAATGTAGCTTAATTAAAAAAACAAAAAAAAAAAAACAAAAAGAGAATAACTAAATCTAAATACTACATTTCTAAGTGTACTGGTTAATCTTCTCAAAGAACCACTCTAGTATTAAGCATTACTGCCAAGTGTATTCTCCACTTAAAACATGTCGCTATCTGTGACCAATCTAATTTTACATACGAATTAGACAAACGAAGGACAATATTAGGATTCCACTTCATTTCAAGACTTAATCTTCCTGGCCTCTACTTTCTGGATTTCAAAAAGTCTCTAGAAGTTTTACATGGCAGTATCAAGAAGCATAGTAATAAATTAATATGCTCTTCTACACAGATAAGCATCAGACATTTCTGGCTCAGAATATAAGTTTCTACTTACCATCGGTATTCTGCTGAAAATGTCACATTGGTATCACTCCCAGTGTAGTTCCACCTTAGAGTGAAATTTGTATTTACAACATAGACCTGAATATCCTGCGGACTCTTCAGATTAGTTTGGCCTACAAGAAAATAACATAAATGTATATAAAGACTGGGATAAATAATTTGTACATAACTTAAGAATAACTTCTGTTAAAGAAGTAGAGATTTATAGTGAAATTAAATAACGAACATAAGAGTTAAGAAAACCCCATGCTACTCAGCAATTCAATACATAGCTCAGGAGTTGTGCATGAGGCAGCTTCTTTGCCTATTTGACTACGCAGGTCTTTCCTCTGTGCTTAATGTCTTTCTCCCCACACCCCTTTAAAAAGAGTATATACAGTTGCAACATTCAAGGACTGTGTTCACTGTCATGCATTGATTATAAGCAGTCTGAATGCATTTAAACCAGTATGTTATTGGTTGGATCCAACATCTGGATCTCAGATGCAAAGTGCTAGGGATTAACATAAAGTTGTCATTTCACAGTTGCGGAACAGACTGAGCATAGCAGACTTGTTTTATGTCACGTATTACTGCCATAAATTCAACACAAACCCCTTTCAGTGAGGCTTCATCACATAGCAGATCTTGTATCTTGCTCATTGTAATCCTGTGTTTTCTTTTACACAAAGAACAGTACATAAAATTACTTATGGAGGGCGAGGGCTAAGTCTCAGGACACATGAGAATGCCCCTAACATCAAGGAAAGGACCAGACCATGAGAAGATAAAGCCTAACAGGCAGATTGCCAACAGGAGGGAAGCATGCATGCTAGAATCATCTGCAGGATAGCTCTCTACCCTGTTTTTCTTCCACCTTTCAAAAATAATTATTAAAAACCCCAAATGCCTCATAATTACCTTATATTCCACTTCCTAAAGAAGACTTCCTCACCATTAATTTTGAGATATGCAGAATCCTAGGTGTCCTGTTTGGTATACAATTCAGGTATCAGAGGACAGATGAGAGTAACAACGCTATGGGAGAAGGAATTATTCTGATACTTACGAAAACTGAAATTTATCTAGCTGTTTATAAGGTACATTTTGCTTTGAATTATTGCACATCAGTCTATGGCACTACTTCAAAGCAGTGAGGCTAAGGAGTTCCAATTAGGGCTGAAAGTTTGGACTGCAAGTTTTCTAGTACTAGAAACTAAACCACACTGTGGCTTACAGAGCAAAGGCAAACAGCGTGAAGGCACAGGGAATACACGTGAACTGAGGGAACCTCACGCAGAAGTCACTAAAATTATACCAAAACCACCAACTAAGCAGCCAAGCCCAGATTTACAGAGCTTGAACTTCATCTAAGTTCTTCTGCCTGGTATCCTATACTAGCTATCTTTGACAACCCAGGCTATGTACAATTTAGGCAGTGCATACCTCTGTCCTCTTACTAAGAACATACTTTCAACTTCTAACACATCAGGGGAAAAAAAAAAAGTAATTAATAACAATAACAATACTAAATAAAATTACCACACCTCTCTGACTTGACTTCCTATTTTAACCAGTTGTGCGTTACACTATTAATCACTTCCCAATGGCTACAACTTCTAAAAATATGTTAGTGACCATCACTCTGAAATTGCTTTTTGATGTCAGTCTAATGTTTGATTATATTAGGAAGAAATCAGAATAAATACATCCTATTGCACCTAGGCAATCAAAGTCTCTTTACACATCTAAACGATTATTCTGAATTTGATTTCAAGAGTGGCTCTTCATTGCAAAAACTATTTCCTATTTTACCTGATGACCAAGTTCTCTTTATAAAAAGGAAATATGTGTGGAAAAGCAATCTATAAACTGAAGTCTGCAAAATCCTTTTGGAGAACAGAGTTAAAGTGGTATCCACAGACTACAGACCCTTAGAAAAAAATCCTGAAAGCACAAAACTTGAAAGGAAAATAATTCAGTAAAACCTCACAGATCCCACTACAGAATTTATTTCTACAACAGGAGATTCCGCAGGTAGATTCTTTACCCTGAACAACATAGAACCTTGGAGTAAACCATAAGAAGGCAGGATGAGATAACATAGTACTAGCTGAGAACCACATTGTACCTACAGAGCTCCAACACTGATAAAAAACCCTACTATATGTTAGGACTATTATTTTTGTTTGTGTTGGGTAGAAAGTCAAATATTCACTGCACTTCCAGAGTATCTTTCCCACATTTTCAAATCCTTATTCACAGCATGAAGCTTTACAATAATTCTTATTAGACCTTTTCCATTTGAGGTCAGAAAAAGGAAGTCTGGAAGCAGAAAAAAAAATCGTTTCAAGATTCATGTTCTAACCAAATATACTTTCTCCCCAAGTTACAAAAAACATGGTGATGTAAGACATCTGACTAATGTTTGAAGCTAGGCCAGCATTTTCTAAAGCTGGTAAATACCACAGCAAATAATCACATTCTCCCTCTAGATACAAACAATATTGTAAAAATACAGCTCTGGATGCTGACATTTGGAAGAAGATACAGCATTGCAGTCCTGGAGTAAGAGCACACACAGCGAATTAGAACAGATTTATTCCAGAACAGCTTTGGTTAAAGGCCCAAAGGATGACTGTTGCAAGTCTCAGATTTGACTGCCTTTTTCTCTGAGAACTTCCTCATGCAAGTTTGAGCAAAGGTTGGCCTCCATCTTGACATTTACTCTTTTAAAACCCTTCTTACAAACTGCTGAAATGAGGCATTAAGAACTGTTTTCAGCAGCACATGATAGCCTTTACAGATAATAAACAGAAACATGCTGTTCAGAGACATCATCTGTAAAATTAACTTAAAATCCACTACAGGGTTAAAAACTTTTACCAATTACTCAGGGAAGACCCTATAGTTTTCAGGGAATTTTCAGAAAGCTGTTCAGCGTTATGTTCAACAACAATGTAAAAGTGTCAGCGCTTGCGGTCAGTACTCAGCAATAGTCAAAAAGGGAAAAAAAAAGTTAGAAACTGATATGGAATTAAGGGAGTAAAGTAGAAAGCTTAATGTCATTATATACATTCATTATAGACTTATGTTCAACACCATGCGCAGGCCTAGAGTGCCCGCTCTCATCAATGGAGAGTGGAACGGAATAAGGCAGAGAAGGATGACAAGGACAATCCAAGGTATGGAACACCTTCTGTCCTGGGAGGAATCAGACTATGACTCTTCAGCCTGAAAAAAGAGACTGAGGGGAGGATATGACAGATCTACAGACACCTAATGAGTGGCATGGGGAATGCAAGCGACAAAATAGGTCTGCTGTCTTGTTAACACAAAGCTGGAAGCATCAAAACAAACACCACTCTGCTCTAAGGAAACAAATGAAACTGCTGCCTTATTGAACACTTAGTCAATCTGTGGAATTCCTTCCCCTAGGACTCTCTGAATGCTCAACTCTTACCTGGCTTATGAACTCAGAGTCAAATACAAAGCCTTGATGCTATAGACTGCTGTAACACTATGTTGTGAAATGTCACCATATACTTGCTTGTTTATTCCTTCCTACCCCACTACCAACCACTGCTGTAGATGAACACTCGACTAGACAACCTTCATGTGGTATAAAACATAAGAGCAAAAAAAAAAAACCCTGAAAAAACACAACGCTCTTTGTAGATCTACCTTGAGCATGATTAGGTACTTTCCTTCTTGCCCTGGTCAGAAAACCAGATTATTGCTTCAGAAGGATCTCCCAGTCCTGACAGACAACCCTGATAATTGAAACTATCTTCACCAGGAAATTAAATTTCTTATCCAAATTCAAATACCTATTTACTGAGGGTTCCAAGGTCACAATTATGCTCTTTCATCTGTTCACTCCATCTCCTGTCCTGTTGCAGGTAAAAAGAGGGATATAATCAGAGAGCCAACTGTAATTTTATATTCTGAGGAACGTCTTTGGTTGAAATTTGTTAAAAGTTAATGATCATCAATTTGCATTTTAACACTTCCTAATCACCCATTTATATAATGGAAAGACAGAAACTGAGCTGGAAGAAACCTTGCAAGATGACCTATATTTCACATTGGAGAAAGCAGGTGGCCAATTCTACGTACATCATCAGATGTTTGCATAGAGAAGTCTTACAGTTTCCACCACTGCATAATCTATTTTTACAGGCCTCCAATCACCTGAAATATTTCACTATCCTTACCATTAGAGGTTAGGGAAAGCTTTTTGTAAATCAAAAGCAAAGAACTCCCAAATCAGGTTTCCTAGTAGATTCTATTGGAGATCTGGATCTTTGCAGAGCAGATCCAAGTTTCCTTATAGCAAGTATGCTAGCTTAGTAGTTGTTCATAGCACAAAGGACAACAAAAAATTTACAGACTGCAAAGCCTGGAGTCTAACCTATGTCTCCTCTAAACACATTTAGCCAATGTACTTTTTGTTTATGGATATTAGAGCACATTATTCTTTACGTCAGATGTATTTGAAAACTATGTTAAACACGACTAATGATGAAGAGAAAACTGAATGGCAGCAACAATTCTTTCAGTTTTCCTTTTAAGCCAAATTTTCTAACTTTCTGAATGACTTTGGTTCTCTTTTGTATTCTCTCCAAATGGTCGAACGTGCTTGAAACAGTGTATTTCAGAAAATCACAATACTCCAGCTAAGAGTAATAAATGGAAGTCTAGCTTACAAGACATAAGACCCAACATTTTCATTCTAATTAGCACTGCAGTGCCCCATTACTTCTGGGGTTTTTTACAGCATAGCACTTAAAACTTCCAAATATAAATTACAAAGCATCATAACACTGCCTTTTTTTTTCCAGAATTGATATTTTGACCATCTTTTGTCACCCTCTATTTGCCTAAGTACACAGCCCTGCACACGTCCTTTTTCAATACTGCTGTACTTTTTTCTGGAGTATTTCTCCAGTTTGTCAGGACTCTATGCCTGCTTTTCAGAACAATTGTGAGCTCCTCCCACTTAGCTATATGTGGATTTAATAAGTTTACACTGTTCTATCACACAGATTATGAGCAGGTCCCCACTTGATATATCGTTCCCTCTTGACAGTGAACTGTAAAAAATTTTGATGAGCTGGAAAAATCATACTGAAGCAGTTTAACCTAGATTACTTTTCCAGTATGCTTAAGAGATTAGTACACAATACAGATTCAAAAGCAATACTAAGCCAGAACACATGCAATTGGAGCTCCTCTATCCGCATAGCCTTTTACTTTAGAACAGCAGAAATTCAGGTTGATTTAACATGACATTTGCTCTCAATACTACAGACACACATAGGTGATCCACCCATCCATCCTTTCACATAATACTCCCTATTTCCAAGAAGTGTTGTGTGTTTGCTTCCCTAAATTGATTTCTTAAATGCTAATGAACAGCAATCCAGGAATGAAGGAGTAAACTCAGTAACGTTTCATTACCAGAGAGATTTCATGATTTAGCTAGAAACCAGATATAAAAATAATGTCCAAAAATCAAGACTTCTTCCTTGTTTATTTTACTACGGATTAAAAGCCAGATATTTAAAATTAACTCACGTTTCTTCACTTAAAGCATGATGACATAATATTTTAATTAATATTTTCAATAAATGATGGTTGAAAATAATGATTACATAACATAATGGAATAATAAAAAAGCTGTTCAACAACAGAATGAAGTAGTGTTAGCAAGACAGAAATATACTCCCTCAGGAGACGGTGAAGGGGAAATCCTATTAAGAGTACATAAGGGCTCGCTGGTTATCACATTAAGTCTGTAGCAGAACGAATGGAAACATTAAGTCAACGTTTCAGCACAGGAAGGAAAGACGACCGGTTACACGTGACATTAAAAAAAAGCCACAACCAAGCACACTAAAAACGACCCCACTGTTATTGGTTCTGTGGGCAGAAAGGTGCTCTAAAGAACCAGAGAGAACTCTTACTACAAGAACTTTTATATAGGAGCAGCAAAGAGAAACTGCTGGTTTTGACAGGGCAGAAGGTGAGAGGTCACTGTAGCAGGGCAATTACTTCTAGCTCTAGAAGCAGTATGTTGCACGTTAGTCATCTGCTATAATACATGTGGGTTAATCAAAGTGACTGCACGTATCTCAACGCTTCCAGTTTGGGGATGGAATTTGGGGCTGATGCACAAAGAATTCACCTACAAATGAAACGGCTGAAAGCAAACAAATAAAGAGAAGAGGACCCAAAGCTGCTTCTCTGCCCGAATCCTACCATGAATGCAAAGTGTGGACCCCTGGAAACAGCTTCTCTCTAGTCTTCTTTTGGGTATGCCAAACTAGAACAATACAATCTTATACAGAATTGAAGAGTTTAGGTGGCATCAGAAGCAGCATGCGCACACTAGCCCACAGCTATATTACTTCCACTATGCAAGCTAGCTTAGCCCATATACTCTCTGTTGCATGTCACAACGTCCCGTAAATATGCAGGAAAGTCATTAACAGCTTATCTGAGTTGCACAGTACTTCCCCCTTGAAAAAACGTTTTGTGCAACAGCTGTTTCTTGCTGTTTAAGGATGCAAGAAAAGGCATGTGTTACCATCCTGTGAGATAAAACGCTCGTGTTGCAGTTTTACTTCTCGCGCTTCCTTGTCTATACTTCAGGCTCCGTCAGGCTAGACGGAGATGCCTTTCAGGCAAATCAACAACCTATCTGCCCCACACTTCAGCTACAGTCTCTACGAGTCGGAGAGAGCAGGAAAGCCTGAAGCAGACGAGAGGACGACAGCTGCTCTCCTGCAGAGTAAAACCCAAGGCACCCGCCGGAGACCCCCGCAGACACACCTACCCAGACCCAAGCCCTGCCGTGCTCCGGGACCACTGCCCCCCTCACAGCGCCGCAGGCCGAGGCCTCGGGCCGCCGCTGCGGCACCGAAGCTCCCCACCCTCTCCCTTGAGAACAGGCACCGCACCAGCCCCCGGCCGCCGGCCGGGTGCCCCGCCGGGCCCCACCTGCGCAGCGTAGGGGCAGCGCGACCAGGAGGGAAGACAGCAACGCCGCCACGGCCCCGCGCCCCGCGCCCCGCGCCACCCGCCGCCGCCGCTCCGTCGTCCATCCGTCCCTCGGCACGGCCGGCGCTCGCACCGTTACCGGAAACCCCGGGCGGCCGCGCATGCGCAGGCCGCCTCCGCGCCGCGCTGCCGACGGTGGGGATGGGGCTGGCGGGGGGGGCGCGGGC